TTAGTTTGTGGGAGAAATCTGATAACTAGTGATTCAATGGACCACATCAAGAGATATGGAGATATTGACTTCGCATTAACAAAAAACCTAAGTATCCGTTGGATGGATTACAGATGCTTGGGAAAATAAATAAAGCTTGAAGTCTATTCCCTAATATAACGATAAAATGAATCTTATAATAATATACTGTCTTTTATTGCACATGACTGTTGACAGGCATCATCAATATAATAACGTACACATGGAGTAAGCATGTTTGAAATATTTTCACTGACACAAGATATATATATATACAAGGGAGGATAATGGAATAATGATAGTAAACACACTTTGCATAAGTTAAAACAATTTACATGCTATAATCCTAGGCACCATTATTGTTTGAATTTGTCGAAAATGCGCGTAACATCTCAGTGTTGCGTCACATTTGGTCAATATTGTGGGCCACTCACAAAAGTGTAAAAATGGCTTATAAAACGATAGTTAGTTTACCGCAAACGATGTTTTAAGTAACATAATCTGCAAAAGGCTTACCACAGCAGTTAGAATACAGTTAAACATGCAGAGAAGTACTATTAATTCAGCAAACGGTGAATATTTTTCTTCGATCTGGAAACAGAATGACTGCGAACCAGTCCATACAAAACGCCGAATAAGGCATACAGCAGCAGAATATTACCATCGAATGAATCAGTGTGATGATAAATTCAGCTGTCAGCATATTTTCGTTATTTCGCGTATATCCAGGTTTAATAGCGATGTATATGTAGTGATATGGATTTTGAAATATACCATAGAGTGTCTCCGTGATCATGGGAAGTAGGCATATATAAACATATATATATATATAGTATGGATCGTTGTCCTTCTTATAAACAATTTAAATTTTCACATTTCTATTCCTATTATCATTCTGAAAGTGTACAGTACCGGAATAAGAAACTTACTGAGTGTTACAAATGTCTTATCGATAGTCGAATAATTGCTTCTTATTCATCGGCTATATCTTATTTTTATCATTCAAACTGTACAGGAAGCATTATACATTGCAAATGAACGTTGTCAGCCTAGGGAGTTTCCTTTCTAATGCATTTATTAGTGATACTTGCACTTACCTATTTCATTACAATTTAATGATTCACCTCAGCACTTTAACTTTTCTAAAACAGCTTCCAATCCCTTCTAAACGTTGTACTTACCTCAATATTGGTTGGTTATTGTATGCCGACAACCACGGGATGAAAACGAAACGAAGTCGATTTTCCCGCTCAAACTGGAGGACAATTGTACAATTGAATAACTATACAGCCTAGTTCAGACAATGAGTGTATTTATATATATGTCAAATATTTAACTATTGAAACATTATTAACTTGTAGACAATCTACGATTTGATATTATATCATACTTGATCATGCCTGTAGAAATGGCATGCATTTTCATGTAAATTTATATGTTTATATGAGAATATATATTATTATTATTATACACTAATTTACCCACAGCCGGCTAACATAGACCCATCCAACACAGTGAAGGTGCAGAAAAAACTGCAACCATTGCAGTGGTTTGAGATGGTCAGAACAACTTAGTTTCACTCTTTTAAATATTGAAGACATGGTTTATTGGATAAGTTAACTACTGTGTGGGAACACATGGAGGAATGAGAAGGCGCCACCATTCTGAGATGCTGGTGTCGGTGTGCATACGCAGAGTACTTGACGATCATTGAAGCACAAGCTTACCAATAGCAATGAAGTTATAGTCTGCTGCAATGTTTTTCGAGACCCGTAACAATATGGTTTACCAAGTGCAGCCCAAGTTGAGTTTAGATCTTAAGCATATCAATCATATGTCCACTATACACCAATCGCTTGGACACCACCAACCGTATTTCAGGTCAATAATCGTTGTATCTTGCTGGAGACGATCCCAATGAAATGCAAATATACTAGATAGCAAAACACTTTTTGACAGTGAATATACAGGCGGAAAGCACGATCAAAGTACTCAAGGATATTTAGCAGAACCGTATGTCTACATTCAAACTTAAAGATGAATAGTTAGAATTGATTACCTAATTCGTCTGTTAAGGATATCGTTGTGGTTCAGTTGCGCTAATTTCCATCCTCCCAACCTCGACCCTGAGGTAAGGCGAATTCATGAAAATGAATTTTGACGAAAAACAAATATTTGTCCCACAAGATTTTAATGTAGAAAAATAAAATAGTACATAAAAATTTATAGCAAAATCATCGTTTGCAGTGCCTACTGCGATGGATTTTCCATAAGTGCAATTACGGAATCCATATGCAGGGAGACTCGTCTTGTGAACCTCTGTCGTACAATAATCCTGTTCATTCTTCTCTTGGCCCAAATCTTAGTAACATTATACAAGAATAAATTAAGATTCCGGTCGATTGATTCGACATGACCAATAAAAAATTTCCAGTTCTTGCATCTTATGGCCACCTATAAAAAAAGTAAAAATATTTAATCAAACCACTCCTCGAAATTCTGTGACGCGGAGTAGAGGGGAATGTTTTTGCTACAATTTGCATACATACGACACCACGTAAAAATTGAGAATTAGACATCTAGGCAGATGAATTCTACGGAATCCATTTTGCAATTTCCTGTACACCATTATCTGCAATAATTGAACGTTTTTACATAAACTTTAGACAGTCGTGAAAGTCTTCACAATCAACTTGCGTACTCTAACCCAAATGAAAATATGTCAGACACTTCAGTCTGAAGTCTGTAAGGACTATAATCAATACAACTCAGTAAACCAATACCTCCGCGAAAAACAGATTACTTCTCCGAAACCTGAAAGTTTTGAAAGCTGACTGTTTCATTTTATTTATCAAAGAACCTAAAATTCAAGATCCACTGAATACTTGAAACGAAAGTCCGAACACGTTCAACGGTAATTTTTCGAGGTTTACTAACCTCACTTGTTTTCTGTTTTACACCGATTGTAATTTTCGGCAGAGTAATATGCGATCAGGTGGTATAGCTGTGATAAAAACAACATTTCCGAAATGTAAGTCACCAGATAACGAAAATTATACTCACGTTCACTTCAAAAATGTTTTTGATGACTACCTGGGACACAACTGACCAATCTCTCATAAATGTGGGGCTACTCCGTCACAGATAATGCATGACTGAACACCATTCTGTAATAAGATTGCTAACTGTCACCTTAACAAATTCTGCCAATTACAGATAAGAGAATATTTTTATATCTGATTCTACCACTCAGGACAGTAGACCTACACACTTAATAACGGTTAAAATTAGTCGTTTTAAACCACTAAGAGTTGATCTGATGTTCCCGCCGAAAAATTCCACAAATACCCTTTCATTTTTCACGGTAATTTAAATCAAATGAGGACTTACTGGATTTCCGTTTCGAACTGCAGATCTCAATACGCATAACGCGTAGAAATCAAATGGTGGAACTTCCACGACTCTCAGTACTCTATCTCTACGTCCACTCTCCATACCTTTTCTTGGTACTGTCATCCCACGGAAACACTATGAAAATTTGACCGTCGCAGTGATATTTATATTGTTTCGCTCCGTACAATGTCCAATATAATTTCTGTGTGAATCAATTTGATTTATTCTCACTGGCTTCTTGGTTTTACAGTTAAGGTTTTCATTCTTTGGTGAATGTTTGAGTATTATGTTCTACCCTTGTATAACGTAGCTTTGGTTGACTTTACGGGGGTCGCAGTATGCGGTGTGTTGAAACCACGTTGGTGCTGGGTATGGAGTTGATCCCTCCACCCGTTAGTCATCCACTGTGTTCGTAAAGAAACATGATAATAAAATTATTTATTATAGCAACCACTATAATCGACATAATTTATGTAGACTTGGTTAACTTATAGAAACGGATGGTTAAGTAAACAACCCTCTAGGTGAAGCTGAAAGACTTCAAAACAAACGGAAAAGACCATAATCCGTGTCCAACACTCGGAAATAGACAGACTCGTATCATCAGGTAGTTCTCTAAAAACACCGACCACAGCATTCGTCACTGGACATTGGATGCTGAGCCTCACTGTTTCGGTTGATTTGTTTAGCTGAAGGCTCGGGTCAAGCATCCAGCCCATTCAGCACACCGTCGTGTTACGTTCGTTTGTGCATGATACCTAGCTAGTTAGGTGATCATCTCGCACTCCAATTTGCTCCCAAAATATAATTCATAATCTGGCCGATCAACTCTGGTGTTTCGCTTTGCCTTTGGTCTACGCGGAAAGAGTACTATGGAAGTTGTGGGTATTAAATAAATAAATAAATAAATTTATTCTCATAGTACAGTACATGAGGGACGCCAGTTTATAGGCATCATCAAATTATTACAGAAATAGTGAATCGAAGGCTATTGGTAACTGTCCCGCTGTCACGCTTTGCTGGCGACCATCTCCAGTGGCACTAGTCGCCCTCTATACATGTAGTGAACCACACCCGCTACTCGGCCGACACAGGCGCCGGAGTCGGTTTTCTTCCTGCTACAGAAGCAGGTCGGCTAACAGGCTGCATATGGAAAACCTATTGCAACCTTTGGCAGGAAATACATCTATCTGAACGTAGTTGTACACAAACCTATTCAGTGGATTTTCCTTCTCGCTGACGTCACTATAATATAATATTATATATTCCCAATAAATTAAGCATTTACATGATTCACATACCGTTTGTACAGGCATGATCATATTAGACAAGTGCAGTCTGAAATTGAACACTGTTTTATGAAATTAAAAATTGGAAAATGACCTCTAGAAACTTTATAAGAATAGAACATAAGATTTTGGTTTAAGTCTAAATTATAATATTTAATATACTCATAGTGAGTCAGATTCATGCGGGAATTATGAAATTTTGCGTTAATGGAAGGTATGTAATGATATAAAAACTAACATGACATCACTAAATGAGTCTCCTGTTTCCTCTTTTTCAGAAAAGAACGCTGGCCTGGCCGTGCTGGAACAGGTGGAGGACCGTTTGTCTAACCTTGTTATAAATGACAATGATTAGCTTGTACCCGGGCAATTCGAGCCCTGCGTGCTGGAAATATAGACCTTCCTCTCGCATCTTCCTCTTCTTCCTTCGCTGATTGTGTCTGTTGCTTCTGGGTGTTACAATTGGTGTCGGAGGTGTCCAAAACTCAATCTCGAAATGAAATCAGATTCTTCCGATCCTCCTGAAATCTTCTCCACCCCAAAAGTCAACCCACAATCCCCAGCCACAGAACACATCTTACCGGTGCGAGGATTACCAACTTTGGACCTAAACAGCGATTATGAAATGTGGAAGATTCGCATGGAGTCTCTCTTATCCGGTCTTACTCCACACGCACAATATACTCAGATAATGCTAGCAATGAGTGACACCGCACTACGTCGTGCTATCGCTGGGGGCTTCTCCGCGTCCAAACCCATCAGCTACAACTGGCGTGTCCTCGACGAATGTTTTGCCAAAACCTCCAGCCCTTCGGTGTACATGCACACCTTTCTCAGCCGCTGTCAAGAGCCCGGCGAAACAGCGTTCGATTACCTGCATCAACTCCGCGAGATGGCATCGCGCGCATTTCCCAACCTTCCCAACCCGAACCAAGATGATGTTATCTGTAGCCGTTTTGCCCAAGGTGTCTCATCATATGAGCTCAAGTGCCAACTTCTACGCCAGCCAGCAAAATCAGTCTCAGAGGCCATTGAGGTGGTAAAGCGATTCGAGAGCGTCGAGCATATTCTCACTCCAACTGCCAGTACGCCCTGCTATGCTCTCGGGACCACCGAGCGAAGAACAACCGTCCCAGCACCACGACAACGCCGGCCTAATGCTCCATCGTCAAACCAACCTCCAATTCCGTCCCAGCAGCATGATGACCCCAGTAAGTGCTATTACTGTCGCCGGTTCGGGCGGCGAGCATGGAAATGTGGGCATAACAAAAAACCGCAAGGTGAGCCATGTTCTGATGTGTCATTATTTGATAATTGCTCGAAATCTCCCCTCCTCCTTGAAGGTAAACTCCAGGGCACTGACGTCACTTTTCTGGTGGACACCGGGGCATCATCCTCTGTTGTTCGCACGCAATTGGTCCAGACACTTGGGGTCAAACCTAAACCTCTCCCCAATCAGCTCCAGTTAATTACCGCCAATGGAGCCCCTATCAGGGTAACGGACATGGCCACACTTTCCGTGACGTTCCCAGGTTTTACTTGTGTCCAGTCATTCGTCATTTGTGATGTCATACGATGGGACGCCATACTGGGCGTGGACTTCTTAACTGAAAAAAACGCTGTCATTGACCTAAGACGCTTTCGAATTCGGCTGGGGACACATAACCTCGCATGTCGCCGACCAGTCAACCGCAACCAGAGTGCTAATGTTTGTGCTTTACCCAGATGACAGTGGTGAACATCCATGATAACCCCCACCTCAGTCTAAAAGACCGTACCGACACCCTGGCCCTGCTACAGGAGTACAGTGTGTATTTGACGATGGGCAAGTGATGGGGCGGACTAATATCGTACAGCACGAGATTCAGACAGGTGATAACTTGCCCATTAGGACGCCACCGCGACGAGTGCCCATTCATTACCAACAGCAGTTGGATACCATGATAACAGATATGTTACGAAAGAAGGTGATTAAACCGTCTACGTCACCGTGGGCATCTCCAATCGTTCTTGTGAAAAAGAAAGATGGTTCTCTCCGCCTCTGTGTCGACTATCGCCGCTTAAATGCAATCACACAACGGGATTCTTTTCCTTTGCCTCGCATCGACGCTACCTTAGATGCTTTAGGTGGGGCACAGTGGTTTTCCACACTAGATCTCGCTTCCGGCTATTGGCAAGTTGAAATTCGCCCAGAAGACCGCCCCAAAACTGCGTTCGTTGTGCCTACGGGGCTGTACGAATTCGAAACCATGCCATTTGGCCTGTCTAACGCCCCTGCTACGTTTCAACGGCTCATGCAAACAGTACTTGCAGGGCTAGTCCCCAAACAGTGCCTCATCTACCTGGACGATATCATCGTGTTCGGCCAGTCTCTCGAAGACCATCATGCCAACCTTCGCGCCGTATTTCAACGCTTACGCGAGAGTAACCTTAAGCTGCAAGCCTCAAAATGCAAATTCCTGCAGAAATCTGTTATTTTCCTTGGACATGAGATTACTCCACAAGGAGTACATACGGATAGCAGCAAAACTCAAGCAGTTGTTAACTGGCCGACCCCTAAATCGACCGCTGACGTACGCAGTTTCATGGGACTCGCCTCCTATTACCGGCGTTTCGTCCAGAATTTCGCCAGTATAGCAGCCCCTCTCCATCGATTGACAGAAAAAGGACGGAAATTTGTTTGGACAAATGAGTGCCAGGTAGCCTTTGACACGCTTAAAAAACGTCTAACTTCTCCCCCTGTCCTATCGTTTCCAGACACATCGGCTGGTAGCGGGCCCTTCATTCTGGATACCGACGCCAGTGCACATGCAATAGGAGCCGTTCTCTCGCAAACAACCTCTGACGGACAAATACGAGTGATAGCATATGCTAGTCGAATGCTAGACAAAAGAGAGACGCGGTATTCGACGACGCGACGTGAGATGCTAGCCCTCGTCTACTTCCTCTCCTACTTTCGTCATTACTTATTGGGGCGCAAATTTCGAGTCCGGACTGACCACAAGGCGTTACAGTGGTTGCAAAATTTTCGTGATGCCGACGGCCAACTTGCCCGCTGGCAGGAACGGTTACAGGAGTTTGATTTCACTTGTGAATACCGGCCTGGAAAACGACATGGTAACGCCGACTCTCTCTCTCGCCTGCCCGATTGCGAGAACACACTGAATGTGTTACTCGGTGCTGCAGCTGACACCGACTGGGCCTCCCTGCAAGCGGCGGACACAACGATACAGCCCATTTATTTACGTCAACAGCATGGGAACGATAAACCGACGTCCAAAGAACTACGGGATTTACCAGCAGCCACGCGGTGCATCTGCGAGAAGTGGGGTTTACTACGACTTATAGATAATGTTCTTTACATAGTGGAACCAAATGCCAACCCCCGACTCCTCGTCCCAACTGTTAAAGTACCCGAGCTTATTAGTCAGGTGCATCATCAACTGGGACACGCTGGCCAACAGAAAACTGAACACGCCATCCGTCAACGCTTCTGGTGGCCACTTATACACCATGATGTTATGGAGTTTTGCCGCAATTGCGCTATATGTGCGCAGATCAAACAGCCTAAGCCAACTCCCCGAGCACCCCTAGTACCTATGCTGACCGAAGCCCCTAATCATCGAGTTGGAGTCGACATCATTGGGCCAGTACCAACATCGAGACGCGGGAATCGTTATATACTTGTCATGGTCGACTATTTCACCAAGTGGTGCGAAGCAGTCCCCTTGCAGCAACAAGATGCCCTGACGATCGGGCGAGCTTTCATCGACAACTGGGTGTCCCGTTTTGGTGCCCCTCTTTATCTACACTCTGATCAAGGCGCTGCTTTCGAGAGTCTTCTTATCTCTCACATCTGCAATGCTTTCGGCATTCGAAAGACCCATACTACGCCTTATCATCCACAAGGGAATGGACTGGTGGAACGCACCAACCGAACCATCAAGCATCTTCTCCGTGCCTTTTTGCACAACGCACCGGAGAACACCTGGGACGATGTCCTGCCTCAATGCTTGCTTGCATACCGCTCCTCCGTGCATTCGTCGACCGGATTTTCCCCGGCTCTACTCTTGTTTGGGCATGAACTTCGCCTTCCTGTTGAGATCCGGACACCGTTGCTACCATACGAGAAGATCGACTGTATTCCCTACGTCCGCAACCTTCGTCACCACCTCGACACAGCCTACAACCTAACACGTCGACATCTGCAGTCTTCTTCGCAGCATCAGAAAAGCAACTATGATCGGTTTGCCCACGGACCAACCTATTCCCCGGGTGACTACGTCTGGCTTCATCGGCCGTCAGTCCCTGCCGGTTCGTGCCCCAAGTTCTACGCCCCCTGGAAAGGCCCATATGAAATCGTACAACACCGACCTCCAACTACATATGTCCTGCGGAACTTGCGACGCCCCCAGGAAAATCTCATCTCAGCACATTACAACCAGCTGAAACCACACTGTCCACCAGCTGTCAAAGAACCGTCGACATCTTCGCAACCGCCACCAGCTACGACCTACTTCGAGGTGCCCACTGATGGAGGTAGTGCATACCCTATACCGCCGCCAGGCACTGAGGACAGTGCCTCCAGAGGGGAGGGAGCGATGTAATGATATAAAAACTAACATGACATCACTAAATGAGTCTCCTGTTTCCTCTTTTTCAGATAAGAACGCTGGCCTGGCCGTGCTGGAACAGGTGGAGGACCGTTTGTCTAACCTTGTTATAAATGACAATGATTAGCTTGTACCCGGGCAATTCGAGCCCTGCGTGCTGGAAATATAGACCTTCCTCTCGCATCTTCCTCTTCTTCCTTCGCTGATTGTGTCTGTTGCTTCTGGGTGTTACAGCTAAGAAGAGAGGTGATATACAGGTGCTAGAGTAAGACACACTGGATGCAGACCGTTATTATTATCATTTTATCAATCAATAAGGGTTCGAAAGTTTATAAAAATCCACATTAGATGGTAAGTACAGCATTATATTGGTATTAGCAGATAAAAAGGACCAATTGGTCGCAAAGTTAACTTTGCGATGTTGAAAAGAATTCAGAATGGAGTTTGTTCCGTTGTTCATCGTAAGTGCTAACAATATTCTGGATGCCGCTCAAGTAATACGGATGTAGAAAGCAGGATTACTGTCCATTAGCAGTGCTTCAGTGCAATACCTTCGAGAAGTGAAGAAAACAGGAGCAGCCAGCAGATAATAATAATTTAAGCAAACAATATGCGATGACCGCAGGGTTTATTCTCCTTTTCTTTATTACTAGGAATTACTAGTCATTGAGTTTTATAGTGTTACATACTAACGGTTAGATTAAGTTTATAGTAGTAAACAACAACTGAAGTGTAGAATAACGATAAAAAAAGGAAAAATTAGGGCGAAACGAATTATGGTTTTCACTCTTATATAGGGTAATGTTTGGAATAATAACTGAAGAAGTGAAATCCAAATGCAAAAGTACATAAGTTATTTAAAAAGAAAAGAGGAAGTATAGTAATACTGATTTATGCTGTTGTTCCGATTTATACAGTTAGATGTCCTCCCGAAGTAGAGAAATCGTATCATAAGCCATTTTTTCAAAGAGTTTGTACGCAAGCTGTGACATACAGGCAGCATTTATTTTTTATTTTATTTATTTATTTTTGAAGTAATTCATCCTCATGAGCCTTAGCAGTAGTGTGCATTCCCACAGATAAGGGTGGTTCTCTTAAGTCCCCACCATCATATCCACTGAATAGCAGTCACCACTCTCCACTTTTGAATCTGCTAGGCTCTGGCGAAATACTCCTCCTTTGTTTCAAGAAATAAATCTTTTATAATTGCTACGTGTCATATGGACAGTTTTTGCATTCACAAGCTAACTCAACAATACTCATGGTACGAACGACTACTTTCAGTCAGCCATTTTGTATACATCGTCACTAACAGCATTTTAAAAGTGTTTACGTACAATAAAAAAGTAAGATAATCAGATATTTGCAGGCTACTTTCAAGATTTTAGTTATAAGCATAGCAACGAAGAGGCAATATGAAATGTTCCGAAGGAGACAATACATAAAGCAACATAGTTATGTATATATCTGCATAAAAAGAGAGTAGTCAGTGATAATAGATACTTCAGAAGAATACGTCTACAGAGTGTTATAACAGCATAACAGTAAAATAAAATCCGTTGAATAGTCCAACCCGCGCGCTTCGTGTAGGACGTTACAATCTCTCCACATAACGTGGAAATATCTTTTCGAATTCTGGAATATCGTAGTCTATATTTGACTACTATATAATTATAGCTGATATTGGTTGCACCTCCGGTAGCTAAATATCCAAATTTATCACCTCCAGAATACTGTTTGGATCCAGTCAGATTCGTGTTAATAAAGAGCAATCTATCACAAAAGAACTATAGAGAAGTCCTTAGTTTTGTTGTTTATAACTGTCAGAGTTAACTCGTTTGATAGTGGTCTATTTTTAGTTCGTACTTCATACATTCATACCTGTTTATTGTTGTTTTTATCTACTTAGATAATATAACAGTATTTCACACACTTTTGTCAATTTTTGAGAAATTTTTATAATCTTTACCTCCATAATGGTCAAAGTTATTAAACGAGTTAGTACTGTTAAGAGACTAGCATCAAATAGTCAGCAGGTCACTAGAAACATTAGTCCTGACGATGAATTTGTACTAAGATCAATTGATACACCGAGAGTTATAGTACCAAACTTAATGGAAGAACTAATCGATAACGTAGCCCGTAACACTAGTGATCTAAAGATCCTTCAGAAATCCATAACAGACCTGCAGGATAAGTTTGAAAGTATCACTCCTTTCCTCCAACTTTGTGATCCATCACAAGAAATTTGCTTAGATTCACTCCTCAAATCTGAGCGCCTGCTAGACTTTTTGACTGCAGAGGCTGTAAAGAGGGTCATGTCCTCATACAATGTTTTAGGATATAATATACCAGACAATGTACCTATTATCAAACTTAAAGCAATCTGTCTACAGGCATGCAACATTTCAGTATCTGACTGCCAGGTTCTGCGTCTTCGTAAGAAATCCGCAAACCACCCATGTCCTGTACTCTTCAAATTTAAGTCTATTGACCTAGCTAAGAAATTTTTGGAGTCTGGCAAAACTCTTGGCTCCTCAACACCCTACACCAATATCAGGATTGTACCTGATTTAACTTCTTGCCAAAGACGTTGCCGCGCAGGTAAACTGAGGGAAGACAACCCCAATAAGACAACCGATGTTAATACTTCCCTCGTTGTATTGCCTGATGACCAAGAGCACCAGATAATATCGCATACACAAACTAACAGTAGTCAAGCAACTGTTGAAGACTTAGCTCTAAATACTGAAATTTCAGACATAGAAATGTCAACAGATCACAGTATTGACGTGCATCCCTTGCACACTGGCACTAATGCCAAACCCTCGAAAAAGTCTAAGCTGAATTCAGTAGTACACTTTGAATCTCTCGGGAAGTCATATACCTCACAACCTCTTAGCCCGGCTACTGTGAAGCAGCAATCACATGTGGCCACCCAGTTAGGCGTAAATACAAGGCGATATGATAAACGTCCTATTTCCGTTAGGAACACCAAAAAAACTGTTGAGACTATTCAACAGAAATCCAGTTTATTAGGAAATCCTACTAATCACCAGCAGCCCAAATTATACAGGCCGACTAATACGGATAAAGCTAAACCAAACGTTAGACCCGGAACACTAAAGCCCATAAGTAGGAAAGTTTCAAATGGGTCACTGGCTCATTCTACTGATAGACAATCATCTAAACTTAGTCATGTTCCTGAAGTTAGACGTAATTCACATACCGTAGGAGCTGAATCATTTCCGACTTCCACTACCAGTCCTATGATAAGGAAAAACAATCGTCACATATCTCACCAAACACTTCGAAAACACGAAGTTGCTCAACCCCTCACGAATGCACCCTCAACCATGATGTACAGGAAACATCAGTTTGAGAATACAGACGTTAGTCCAAAAACGCGTATAGTGCCCTGTCATAATTCTCATGCATTCAGTAGGGGTCACATGCCAATTTCAGCACAATGCTCATCATGGCCTAGGAAGTACTCTAATCAGACACAGGGATCTAAGTCATATGCACACAACAACACGCCGATCACACATTTCGGTTATAACTATGCAGATTACACGACACTAGCCAACCCATATGACCAAAATTTTCTCCAGCGACAACTGGCAGAAACGCCTGGGATCATGCACATAGCACGCATGATATCAGACCAATTCCTTGCTGGTATAGCGAACACCTTACAACAGGGAAACTGCTTCTTCCCCGAAAGATAGCAAACATCTTATACACACCTAATACCAATAGTAATACCATAGATTATCATACTAGTATCTCCCATAGCACGCAATATCTAAACGACCAACTACTCACGAGTGACATTTCACAACCCATCCCTAACTATCAAATTAAAGAAACCGTCTCTAGTGATCAAAATGTTGTAATTAATGAATCCAATAACGACTGCACATATTCAGTTGATAACCATAGAGTATTTTATTATGATATTGCCCATACACTAAAACCACTTCGTCAAAGTCTATCCGTCATCCTCATAAATGCTAGATCAGTTCTTAACAAACATTTAGCATTATGTACGTTAGCCTCTATATGCAATCCGTCGCTGATCATGATCACTGAAGCCTGGTGCTCAAGTGATATTGTGGATGGTAGCTTATCAATTGATAAGTACAATCTTTTTCGAGGGGATAGGGAAACAGGTCGTGGGGGTGGAACACTCATATACGTTAAACAACCCATTTGTGCAACGCATTTTAGTCACCCTATTCTGTCACAACTTAATGATTCGGTGTGGGTCGAAATAAAAGTTCTCAGAAGTAAACCTATCCTTATAGGGTGCGTATACCGACCGCCATCATCCAACCGCGAATACGATAACGTACTCAGCAACATATTTAGTGTTGCATCCAATCTCCCCTTCAGTTATAATATAATTGGAGGTGACTTCAATTTGCCTGATATATCATGGCGTACACTTCGTGGACCCTCGAGGTATGATAATCTTCTTAATTCCATCATTACTGGAGGATGGACGCAACACATAAATGTACCCACTAGGTCCAATAACATTCTTGATCTTATATTCACGATCAACGTAGCACCATCTACAATTCATGTGGGACATGAATTCCCAGGTAGCGATCATAAAATAGTTGCATGTTCGTTTAACATTTCTCCAGAAACTATACACAGAAACGAAGTTAGTCGGACACCTATAAGACCATACACGCGGGTTGATTGGGACTTGTATCAGGACTTGATTAGATACTCTAATTGGGATTCCTACTTTACCAATGACTCCTTAGAGGAAGTCCTTAAAAACTTCTATGACAATATACAGTCGGTTAATGATGTCATAGCGCCTGTGAAACTGATTAAATTCAAAATCCCTCAAGGTGATTTTATTCCAATATCATTAAGAAGAAGTTTGCGGAAGCATTCATTAAGTTACTATAGACATGACGACTTATCGTCGTTAATCGCTATCAAAACAATCCTCATTAGAATCCATGAGTTAAAAAATCTAAGTCTTAGGAATAAAGAAACGCGGGCAATTCAGTCGCCACATAACACTGGAGAAATAGCCAAACTCTTCAAAAGTAGGTTAACTAACTCCAAATCAACATATCCAAAAATAATACACCTAGGTGGCATTACTCACGAAAGTGCTGAGGATATATGTGAGGTGTTTAGCACGCACTTTGCCAAACTGTACACTCTAGAAAATGACCAGGATATAGATTTCCCTCGTAAAACA